CCACAATGCAATTTTATTCAGTCACAAAGAAAAATTGTCCCATTTGCAGGCAAATGGATGTAATTGGAGCTCGTCATGTTAAGCAAAATAAATCAGTCTCAGAAAGCCAAATAGTGCATGTTTCATCTCATTTACAGACTCTCAAGGGGGAAGACACAGAAGCAGGATGGGTTACTAAAGAAGAAGAAAGGAATTGAGGGGAAGAGATGATGAGAGGGTGTCTGTCTTAGTCACTGTTCTACTGCTGTGAAGAGACACCGTGACCAAGAGGAAGCATTTAGCTGGTGCTTGCAGTTTTAGAGGTTTATCCAGTATCATCATGGTGGGTAGTGTGGTGGCACGCAGGCAAATGCTGAAATAGTAGCTAAGAACTACATCCTGGTCCCTAGAGAGACTGGGCTTGGCGTAGGCACCCTCAGTGACACACTTTTCCAATGAGGCCACACCCCCTAATCCTCTTAATCCTTTCAAACAGGGCCACTCCCTAGTGACTAAGCATTCAAATGTATGAGCCTATGGAGGTTATTTGTATTCAAACCACCACAGTGTCCTAGTTTGCTTTCTCTGGGACTGTGATTAACACCATGACCAAAAGCAAGTTGGAGAGGAAAGGGTTTGTTTCTTTTCAGCTTACAGTCCATCATGAAGTAAAGTCAGGACAGAAACTTGAGGCAGGAAGGCAGGAATGGATGCAGGAACAGAAACAGAAGACCTGGAAGATTGCTGCTTACTCACCTGCTCTCTAGACTCACATTTTATACCTCCCAGAACCACTTGCCCAGGAAGCTGGGCCCTCCCACATCAATCATTAATCAAGAAGATGCACCCCGGACTTGCCTATAGGTCAATCTGATGGAGGCATTTTCTCAAGTGGAGGTCCTTCTTCCCAGATGGCCCTAGTTTGTGTCAATTAATTAATTAATCAGCACACAGGTAATAGTGGGGGAACTATGATTAAAAGACTTCATGTGCATGCTTGGCAATGTCACTATGCAAAGCCATTATTTTGTATAATTAATAAACACGAAAAAAACAAGACTGGGAGTGTGGACCAGTGGTAGAGTACTTGCCTAACAAGGTTCTAAGTTCAATCTCGGTACCACAAAAATATACCTATAAAATTTACCATCAAGACCATTTTTAAGTGTGTAGTTAAGTGGTATTAATACATTCATAAGTTTGCACAAAATACCCAAGCTACCTATCTCCTCTTCCCATCTGTAAAATGAAAATATACCCACCCAACAGCAACTACCAGTTTCCCAGCAATCACCATTCTATTATGTAGCTTTGTAATTTTAACTAGAATAAGCAAATCAATCAAACATAGTGAAGAGTAGGAGGACAAAGAACAAAAAATGAAATGAAAATAGAAAAATGAAGAAGCAGCTGGGGATGAGGGGGAGAGGGAAGGAGGAGGGAGGAGGGGGAGGAAATGCCCGCAGCATTAAAGCACTCGCAAGCTTCTTTCCGCTTCTTTCCGAGAAGCCCCTTTCTTCTTCCTGCTGTGAGTAGCTTCTTTGGACTTGCACTTTACTTCATAGATTCTCCCTTCATCTGTGTCTGAAGACTTGCTAAAGCCATTCAGTTAGCTCTGAATTTGAGTTTTCAATTCCTAGAAGTTCCATGGAGGTTCTTTAAAAACAAAAAAACTTTAATGTATACCATCCAGTTGTTGAGAAAATGGAAACTTAGAGGCCCAGTTTCTCCTCTCTGACTTTAGCACAGCAAGCGGGTGCTTTATGGTCTCTGGCTGAGAATTCAGGTGTCTGGGTTTCTTCCCATCTGTTTTGGACTGTTTCTCACTCATCAAATCTCCTCTCAGGTTTCTTCTGTCTTTGCTCCTGGGCTGGAGAAGTATCTAAATGTTATTTGCAGAAATAAGCAACAGCCCTAGGGTAATATTTTTCTGTCCTAAAAAGCTCGTGTTTACATTTGCTGGACACACAGAGCCGAGGGTGTTAGAACTTGAGATTTCCTGAGTCTAAGGCCTGAGCCACCCAGATGCTTCTAAGCTGGGCTGCCGTCCATCAGACTGCTGACTTGCCTCTGCCCATCCCCTCACCCTTCGGGTGCACTCCTCTTTGTTTTCAGTCAAAAGCAGGTGTGGCTGAGTATGATCCACACCCTTGATGGGTCCTGGACTCCTATTTGTTTCCTTAACCCTGAAAGATGCCAGAAATGACAGAGTCCCTTCCTGGCCCTTCCTGAAAGGGCGGGATAGCCTGGGTGCCAGGATCTCCTCACTAGCCGAGCTTCCTCAGGAGAGTCATCACTGTGCTTTAGATATTTCCTGCTTCTATGGAGATGGCATTTGTGTTGTGTGGTGAGTTTTTCCTTGTCCTTATTAGGAGGGCTGGTCCTCACTGCATTGCTCACCATGACCGGAAACTTGTCTGCATTTTAATCTAAAGTTTTAAAGGGCTTTCAGTGGTCACTTAAGTTCAGTTCTGTATAAAGGGCGTGGTGAGATCTTATTTTTCCTCTCTGCAGATCCTGTGTCCAATAGAATTCCCACTGACAGTCCATGCCTGTTGAGTCATGTGTCAAAGCTCTGTATCTATAAAGATCTAAGTCTGGGATTCATTTTTGTAACAGACTAAAGTTCAACTCCTTCCCCTACAGCAGTCAGAACCCTGACTCCAAACAGAGTGATAGTATTCAGAAGTGGGGCCTTTGGGATGTTGTGATGGTGGGGCTCATGGATGGGGATAGTATCCTTGCAAAAGGGGCTCCCACAGTTCTCCCATCCTCCCATTTTGTGAGGACATGGCCAGCAGATGCCAGTCTGTAAGCCAAGAGGAGCCTGACAGGTGAAGTGCTGGCCCCCTAACCTCAGACAGACCCCAGCCCCAGAACTGCCAAGAATACTGTCTGTTTTCATGAACCATCTGGTATAGTCACAAGCCCTCTAGCATATGGAGTTTTGGGTTTTTTAATGTTTTTTTTCTTTATGTATATGTGTGTTTTGTCTGCATGTCTGTCTGTGCGCCATGTGTGTCCAGTGCTTGAAGAGGCCAGAAGAGAGCATTGGATCCCTTGGAACTGGAGTTGCAGATAGTTGTGACCCACAACGTGGGTACTGAGAATTGAGCCCAGGTCCCCTAGAAGAGCAGCATTAGATCTTTGTTTGTTTGTTTGTTTTTTTCAAGACACGGTTTCTTTGTGTAGCTCTGGCTGTCCTGGAACAAGTTCTATAAACCAGGCTGAACTCGAACTCACAGAGATCTGCCTGTCTCTGCCTCCTGAGTGCTGGGATTAAAGACGTGTCACCATATGGCTGCAGTATTAGATCTTACTCCTGGAAGCATCTCTAGCCCTGGAGTTTTGTTAACAACCTGAATTGATGAAGACGATTCCATTATGTCTTTCTCCCCCACCCTCTGTTAATTATTGTCCTAGGTTATACCTTACTGATATTTTAATTACCACAATCTTATTCTTCTTGTTTGGCTTCAGTGAATCTAGTGTGATTAGAAACAGCTGTTATTTATGACATCCACCTTCATATGTAAGTGCACAGGATGGCTCTAGCCCTCTGACTTTGATACTGCTCCTAAAGCTTTGTAATTTTCCTCATCCCTTATTACATAGCCTTATGGAGTCCTTTCCTTAAAATATTTTTTTAAATTATGTGTATCTATGTGGTGAAGTCATGTGCACCTCTAAGGCCACAGGTGACAGACAGATACCTGGAGCTGGAGTTACAGATGGTTATGAACTGTCTAATGTGGGTGCCAGGAACCAAACCCAGGCAGGCCCTCTACAAAAACAATACAAACACAGCCTTTTAACCACTGAGCCATTTCACCAAACCCAGGCAGGCCCTCTACAAAAACAATACAAACACAGCCTTTTAACCACTGAGCCATTTCACCAAACCCAGGCAGGCCCTCTTCAAAAACAATACAAACACAGCCTTTTAACCACTGAGCCATTTCACCAAACCCAAATATAGTTTTTTGTTGTTTTTTTTTCTTTTAAGATAGGGTCTATTATGCAGCCCTGGCCTTGAACTCACCTGCTTCCCCAGGGCTGGGATTAAAGGCATGCATCACCATGACCAGCGGGGTCCTCCCTTGAAAGTAACAGAACTGTATACACTTGTCAAAATTTGCAAGAAGGGGTAGGTTTTACTGTATATAAATAGATTTAATTTTTAAAAAGAGGTTTTGATAGCAGATGGTGAATATGTAAATAGTAATAATTTGACAGATCTGAGTCTGCCATAGAGAGAGCTAAAAGCACTGGGGTTTTATAACACAGAATTCTCAAACAGAACCTGTCTATCTAGGTCTGACCATGGTGTGTGTGTGTGTGTAGGGGGGGGAGTTCTAAAGTACATCCTGAATGCTGGCAGTTGACAGGTTCCTATATCTGCTGGGGACGGCTATATCTACTGGGGACGGTTACCCGCTGAGGACATCATCAAGTATACAGGCCCAGGTACTGTCGCCTGTACCTGGCCGGAGATCAGGCATCCTGCCTTGCAGTCTTTAATGTCAGCCTCCACGCGGTTCAGGGTCTGTCTACATCCACCTTTCACTAGCTCAAAGTCGCCTGCTGGGGGCGCCACGAACGCATCCAGTACCTAGTCACGTGTCCTGCTTGCGGCCTCACCGGGGGGGGGGGGGGGCACGTCGCATTTCCTAGTCAGCTGCCCCTCTCCTACTGGGCTGAGCCTCCAGCTTCATGGCCGCCCCTACTTCCGGCTTGGGCCCCCTGGGAAACCTGCTGCTTCTACTCCTGCTGGCTACCCCAACCTGGGTTGCGTCAGTCAGTCACCGACACCCTAAAAGCCCGGCAAATTCAGTGAGAGACGTGGGTAGGTCCCTGTTCCACAGTCTGGGTGGTGGTCCTTTCTTCCCGGGTGGAACCTCGGCCCTAAGACCCGGCCTGGCCCCTTCCCACTCACCTACGCGTTGTCCCCTCCCCGACCCGTGGCCCGCTCCTCCCCTGGTGAGACCTCGTGCCCATTCTGCAATTGTTTCTCTCCTCAGCCTGTGGCCAGCCAGTTCTGCCGGGCAAGATCTTGGGTGGAATGGCGGCACCGGATCAGAAATGGCCGTGGCAGGTCAGCCTGCATTTCTCTGGCCTTCATGTATGTGGTGGCTCCATCCTCAGCGCCTACTGGGTGCTGACAGCAGCACACTGCTTTGATAGGTGAGCGGTGCAGGCTCTGTTACAGGTAATGGGGCAGGGACACGGGACAGGAGAAGCCAGGAGTGCCCATGACTTACTTGGACTGCCTCAAGCTCTATCCATGGCTAATACACTCATTCCTCTGGCCCCAGGCTCCAAGCTACTTCCCTCGAACCAGCATAGACTTAGACTTATCCACCCTGGCTAGTGACTAGGCCAGAACCTAGGTGTGTGGCCCGTCGTCTGGAGCACAGCCCTTCTCCACAGACTAGGCTACATCCCTGCCTGAGAAGCTGGTCCCCATTTACAGCCCCCATTCCAGGTTCCCCTCCTCCAGGAAGGTCCTCCCCACTAGAGGAGTGTTCTCCTCCACAGTGAGCACAGAGTGTTCTCTGGGCAGACGGCCCTGTCTCCTGAGCCTCATCCAGTCAGGCCCACAGCTGTAGTGTACAGGGGCTCATCAGCTGTTCAGGAAGAGGCAGGAGAGGGGCCCACGTGCATAGCTGTGTGGCTCTCATTGGCACGGACCCCTGTTGGTTCCCAAGTCTCCATCTACCCAGGTCAGGACCTCTCTGGGGTCAGATAGTCAGGCCCCCATCTGTGGGCTGGTGATACAGGGGGCTGCAGGCAGTTGGCCTCTATTCTAGTCAACAGTGGGAAGAAGATTGAAACCTTTGACGTATACGTGGGCCTCACCGACCTCAGCGTGGCCACCAGATACACCCAGTGGCTGGAGGTTAACAAGCTGATCATTCACCCCACCTACATGTGGTTTCATCCTGTTGGAGGGGACGTGGCGCTGTTGCAGCTGAAGAGCCCCATCGTATTTTCTGACTCCGTGCTCCCTGTCTGCTTGCCACCTCCCAACCTGAGCCTCCACGGTTTGTCTTGCTGGGCTACTGGATGGGGACATGTCTCACAGCAAGGTACGCGCTAGACACCATCTCACAGAAGTAGAATGGGTGTCCCTGATGTCTGGGAAGGCGGACAGGAGAACAACTTAAGCCGAAAGATGCAGACTCTAAGGAAATAATCCACCACAAATAAAAAAACAGCTGCCAGAGATGAAAATTCCATTATGGGGCTATGGCAGACTGAGGGAGGACCAAATGACCTTGAAGACAGATTAAGTAGAAATTATCTATATTGGAACAGCAGAAATTATCCATATTGAACATATGTGTGAAAGGGAAACAGAATGATGTAAAAAAGACACTCCCAGAATTATGTGGACTGGGCTTCCCTGTGTAGGTGGGGCTTCCCTGTGTGGGCCAGGCCTCTCTTGTGTGTTAGGTGACTCCTGCATGTGGACAGGGCTCCTCCTGGAGTGGGAATTCCTTTCAGATTTGTCCTCCATTGACCAAGAACCCAAGAATAACTCTGACTCCTGTCCTCCAGGAACTAAGACTTCTCGGGATTCAGACAGGCACCGTCACCTGACAGCTCCTCTCCCTTCTCCTCATAGGCGACTCCTTGAAACAGCTACAGGAAGTCCAGTTGCCACTAATCCCCATGCTCCAGTGCCAGCTGCTCTATGGATTTACAACTTACTTCCTGCCAGAAATGTTGTGTGCTGGGGACATCAAGAATGAGAGGAATGTGTGTGAGGTATGTCCCATTCTGTTGAATCAGAGTTGGACTCTGATGTAGGTAGGGGACTGCTGGGGTGGCTGTACCCAGGGAGACAGTGTGTGACAATCACATACTCACACACTTGTGTCAGACCCCAGTGTTGAGCCTCTGGGGTCCATGGCCCCAGAGAGGGGACTTTGTGTGTGTTGGGGGCCGGGGGGAGGAACATGGGCCCCTCTGTACCTGAGGACCATACCTGGACTAGCAGATCACAGACAGCCCCCTTCCTTCACAGGGTGACTCCGGCGGCCCACTGGTTTGTAAGGTGAATCAGACCTGGGTGCAGATTGGAATAGTGAGCTGGGGCCGAGGGTGCGCCCATCCTCTGTACCCAGGGGTGTATGCCAATGTCTCCTATTTTTTGAATTGGATCCATTATTATTTGAAAACCACACCCATTCCTCCTCTGCCGACCCCCTCCCTCTGTTCATCCCTGACAGCCAACCCTAGCATTTTTGTGACCATGCTGGCTAGTCTGTTGGTGTGGTGAGGACCGAGACACCCACCCACCCTCCCCACCCCGGGTAGGCTGCCTCATGCCCTGTTTCTACCCTCTGTAGCTCTCCAGCCCTGTCCCCCCATCTCCGTGTGCCATGAAGGCAAGACACTTTTCCCAGACTCTTAAGTCTGTAAAAAGTTGAGCAAAAGAAGTGGAGAGGATCAGAAATGAACCAGGAGGGAGAGTTGGGGGACAGCTGGGGGGAGCCAAGAGCTTGGGCTTTACACAGTCAAACTTATTAAACATTCCGTGAAGCAAGTGCCTTGGAACTTCTGTTCTTGCCTTCCGCTCCAGTCTCTTTACATTCCCTGTGCAACGGGTAGGAGTCCACACGTAGAAAGTAGGCCACTCAGGCACGTCCCACCATGTGACAAGAGAAGCACAGGAGGCTGAAGGGATGGCTCCGTGGTTAAGAGCACTGGCTGCTCTTATACAGGACCTGGATTCAATTCCCAGCACCCACATGGCAGTCACAACTGTCTGTAACTCCAGTTTCAGGGATCTAATACCCACTTCCGGCATCCTAAGACATCAGGCACAAGGCACACGAGTTACACAGATACACATGTGGGTGAAACATCTATACACATAGAACATGATAAGGTTTGGGGAGTTGGGGAGAGAAAGGTACAAAACAAACTGAGCTTTTCTAGACACCTGGGCAGGCCTGTGGGTACAGCCCAAGAGAGGGGAAAGGTCGCAGATTCAGTTTAAATGTCAAAAAGAGTTTTGAAACATGGAACTGTCCTAAGTGGGAAGGCAGAAACCGTGAGCTGAGAATATGCAGATACGGGAAAGAAGCCAAAAGGATGTGTGTGGAAACGAATGAGCAGAAAGCCACACAGCACCATGTCTGATGTCTGCAAGACCTGTGCCCCAGCTTCTGCCAGCCTCAGATAGAAAATATCTCCCCAATTTCATCTCTGCCCAAGCATGAACAGACTCCCCAAACAATGCAGCATAATGGTGATTGACATAGCAGCCCCACTGTGTCGGGGGTCATAAGTCACCTAGAGATGACTTAAAGTGTATGGGAGGAACCAGGCACAGTGGCGCATGTCTACAGTTCTGACACTCGGGATGCTGAAATAGGAGGGTGACAAGTTTGAGGCCAGCCTGGCCAACCTAGAGAGAACCTGAAATAGAGGGTGTGTGAGAGCTCAAAGAAGGTATTATGTATAATTCTATGCAAATAAATTACTAAAAAGTACTTTTACCTAAAAACAAAAACAACTATCCCCAGCAAAGAGAGAAGGTTAAAACAAGCAAGATTCCATAAATAAATGGAAATATTTAAGAAAGTGACACCTACCCCCACCTCCACTTAGTAGAAGTCCCTGTGATCAGATTTCCTTGGGAGATTATTAACTTTCAACTACAGGGATGTCCCAGCACTGCTCGGACTTTTGGGAGTACAGGTAAGAGAGCAGCATTCCACTTGCCACCAGGAGCAGCTTTGGATGAAGATACACTAACATAATCCGATGTTGGGGCAGGAATTCAAAAACCATAATGAGGGGCAGGTGAGATGGTTCAGTGAGGAAAAGTGCTTGCCACCAAGTCTAAAGGCCTGAGTTCAATCCCAGGGACCTCCAGGGTGGAGACAATTGACTCCCACAGGTATCCTTTAACCCCTACGTATGCCATTTAGCACAGGAGCATATACACACACATATAAAGAAATAATAAGTGTAGTGAAAAATAAATAAAACCCTACAAAAATATTAACAAATACAATCCTAGTTTACTTTTCAAAATAGATCCCTATGGTCCAAATGGACCTTATCTGTCATATGAGATTGATTAAATGTTAGGCCCAGGGGTGGTGGCGCATGCCTTTAATCCTGGGACTCGGGAGACAGAGGCAGGTGGAATTCTGTGAGTTCCAGACCAGCCTGGTCTACAGAGCTAGTTTCAGGACAGCCAGAGTTATACAGAGAAGCCCTGTCTTGAAAAAAAAACTAAAGAAAAAAAACCTATGAAATACATAGATAAAATTCACCATTATCAGTTGTTCTGCTATTGGAGAACACCAATGAGAAAGCTTTTGACAAATTTAGAAGGCATTCCCATTCTAAAAAATCAGGTAGAATTATATGGATAGGAAGATGTGAGATGTGTGGATCCCTCAGTCTAAACCTGGCTGAGTGTCATTAGGCGTTCCCTAAGGCCTGAAATACAGGGAGGTTGGAACAGTTCCTGAGTCCATCACCACAGTCACACAGACGACCTGTCCCAGGAAATTCAAGGAATGGTTTGGGTCATCTTTTGTAAAAAAAAAAAAAAAAAAAAAAAGACATGGAGGAAAGTGAGAATTTTGCCATGATCACTACCACTTGTGGAGAGGAACACTTCAAAAGTGGCCGCACCTCAGTAAAAAGCACACACTGACAGGAAGACTAGAACAAGACTCTATTCCTGGAGCCCTAGCACGGGCTGTGGAAACTGAGGAATCTCTCAAATGCCACCACAGACGGAGTGTCTTCCAAAGCCTCTGTGTTTCTTTGGCTTATAGTCCAGAGCATGGTACTAGTACCGTACCATGGTGGAGGACTCCCTATCATGGCACAGCCCATTAGTCACCCTTTCCTGAACCCACAAATCTGGTTCATGAGTGATTAGCCTACCTTGAGACCAGTTCCTCAGCACCCAGGCACCACTACATGTCACTGACTTATGGCTTAGGGATTAAGTGTCTGACACATGGATATGGAGGACATAGCCAAGCCCTAGTACCCCTAAAAACAGCAAAGAAGCAAAAAAAAGTAGACTTTTTGGGGCTAGGGATATAGTTACCTACATATTTGTCTAACATGTATGAGGCGTACGGTTGGATCCCCAGCACCATCTAAATCAGGTACGGTGCCATACACCTGTGGTCTCAGTGCTTGGAAGGTGGAGATGGAAGGATCAAGGAGTTCAAGGTCACCCTTGGCTTGAACTTTTTTGAGACAAAAGTATTGTCTCAAAAAATGTAGGTTTTAACAGATGATAGTACAGTTTATAGTCTCAGCTAGGGCAACATGAAGTAAAGTGGGATTTCTTTTGTGTTTCTGGACCTAGACAAGTTGATTTCCATGTTTACATCCAAACACAGGTAAGTGAATGTGCTCAGAATAAATTCAACATGAAAGCTAGTGACATAGGTCTATGGCCAGTGGTGCAGAAAAAGACCCTGCAATAAATATGTCACAAAGGGTGGAAAATCCATGTCTGCCCAAGAACAGACATAAGCATGAGTGGATGGTGCCTGGAGCTCAGGACGTCAATATGTAAATAAAAGTGAGGCCTGGTGGCATAAGCATGTAATCCCATCACTTGGAAGGCTGAGGCAGAAGGATCATGAGTTTGAGGTTAACTTGGGTTACATTGTATTATCCTTTAAAAGAAAACAAAAATTATAAATGCTGTAAAAGGATTCAGAAAATTGTCACATGCCAGGTAGTCAGTCACATTGGAAAGATAAGAATTAAATAGGATGACTAGTTTCTGCTGCCCTAGACCTCACATCCTGGCATAAAACTGGAAGGACGCACCACTGTGATCTCCGTGGTGTTTGCATCATTTCGATCCATAAAATTTGCATTTATTTTAGCAACAATTGTTTAAGAGCAACTGTGAACACACTGGGCTTCTTTTCCCAGCCTTTATCCTTCAACATTCGGAGGCAGCAGGGACCACACAGGCCCCAACGCAGGGAGAGTTACTATAGACGTGCATAGCAGTTCCACCAAGAACCTGTCTGGCATGAGGCTGAGGCTGACAATGTAGTGTGTGCAGGGTGGATACTCCCACCCATCCCTGTCTAGATGTAATGACAGGAGCCAGACTCTTTTCAGTCCCTGTATGTACCAGGTCTCTCCAGGAGAGGAAGACTAAGGAAGATGTCTGTCCTAAGCAAACCAGTTATGACTCTGTTGTCATCACCAAGTTCACAGTTTCTAGTAAAACTGCACACAGAATTTCAGCAGTCATTTATACCCACTTCCTGAAATAGGAATATTTAAGGGACAAAGAAGGTTCTCACACCAAGTCTGTGACCATCATGTATGGTAAGGAGTGAATACTTAAAATGCGTTTTATGAGACATCATTTTGGTGGATGTGTGCATGTGTACATGTTTGTGAGGAGGTGTGCATATGTGCACATGCGTGTGGCGGCCACAAGACAACCTTGTGTCATCCCATAGGAACCAAACACGTTGCCTGTTTGGTTTTGTTTGTTTGTTAATTTTGTTATTGTTGTTTTTTGTTTGTTTTTGAGACAGGGTTTCTCTGTGTAGCCCTGGCTGTCCTGGAACTCACTCTGTAGACCAGGCTGGCCTCAAACTAACAAAGATCCACCGGCCTCTGCCTCCTGAGTGATAGGGTTAAAGGAGTGTGCCACCACCACCTGGCTTGTTATTAGTTTTTAATGTCTCAAGTGTTTTGTCTGTGCACTAGAGGCCAGAAGAGGGCATTAGATCCTCTATAACTGGAGCCAAAGATGGTGTGAGTACCGGAGATAGAGCCCAGGTCCTCAGCCACTGAGCCACCTCTCTCGCTCCGAGTCACAGGACCTCTCACCCGCCTGGAGCTCACTCAGCCAGCTAGTCTAGCTTGCAGCCGTCCCCAGGGATCCTTCCATTGGTCTCTGCGTCCCCAGAGCTGAGATTCAAGCACATGCCACCATGCTGGCTTATTTTACATGGTCCTGGAGATAAATGCAGGTCCTCATGCCTACATTACAGCACTTTACTGACTGAACCATCTCCCCAGTGTTTGGGGATTTTTTTTTTAGTTCATTAAATTGCCTTTCAGTTTATTCACTGTTTTAGAGATCCAATTTTTCTATTTTTTAAAATTTTCCAGGTGTCATAATAGTGCAGACTTTTGAATACGATGTGCTGTTTCAGTGCATGCAGACTCTGTGCAGTGAGCATGTATCTCCTCCCCCTCAGGCATGGTGGGCCCCCATCTTTCTTCTTCTATCCCTCAGCCTGTTGTGTTTGTCCATGAAAACCCTCATGGCACATTAGGGCTGCTGATGCATGCATTTTCCAAGCTCCTGAACATGCCTCCTCATTTGTAGCTCCCAATTTGTGGTTTTCCTCCTAAGACACCAGAGCCTGCTGCTTCCTGGCATCCTGACATCTCCTGCCACAAGGGGGCAGTTCTCTGGCATCCAAGAGTGCACTTGCCTGAACCCTAGGCCATATGAACTGGCTCCTGCCAGGGCTCCACCTCCACCCCAGAATGTTTGGATCTGGGACCTGCTCA